GGCTGTCACCAGTGAGGGACGGGGGGGACATGGGGGGACAGGGGGGGCTGGGGGGACACGGGGTGACACGGGGGGGCATGGGGGGACACGGGGGGGCTGTGAAATCCAACCGGCACGTGGCTGTCACCAGTGAGGGACGGGGGGGACATGGGGGGACAGGGGGGGACACAGGGGGACACGGGGGGACACGGGGGGACATGGGGGGACACGGGGAGGCCTGGGGTTGCTGGGAGGGTGCTGGGGGTTCCCGGGCTGATGGAGGGTGCTGGGGGTCCCCGGAGTGCTGGGGGAGTCCCTCGGGTACCACAGGGGTCCCTGGGGCTGCCTGGGGGTCCCTGGTGCTGCCTGGGGGTCCCTGGGGTGCTGCAGAGATCTCGGGGTGCAGTGTGGGGGGTGTCGATGTTTAGGGGTACCGGGGGGCACTGGGGGCGCGTGTCCCGTCCCGGGGTGCCCCCAACGTGTGCCGTGCCCGCAGACATGAACGAGCACAGCTCCCGCAGCCACAGCATCTTCCTCATCCACATCAAGCAGGAGAACGTGGAGACCGAGCAGAAACTCAGCGGGAAACTCTACCTGGTGGACCTGGCGGGGAGCGAGAAGGTGGGAGGGACCCCAGGGACTGGGGGGGACCCCAAAGATAGGGGGGACCCCAGGGATTGGGGGGGACCCCGAGGGAGGGACCCCAGAGGTTGTGGGGGACCCCAGAGATTGATGGGCACCCCAAAGGTGGGGGGAACCCTAAAGGTTGGGAGGGACACCAAAGGTTGGAGAGACCCCAGAGGTGGGGGGAGAACCCAAAGGTGGAGGGACTCCAGAGATGGGGGGCACCCCGAAGATGGGGGAAGACCCCAAAGATGGGGGGGACCCCAGAGTGGGGGGTCTGGAGGGCTGGGTTGGGCTGCGGAGCACTGGGAGGGCACTGGGAGGGCACTGGGGACCCTGGTGGGGAGCCTTGGAGGGGTGCCCAGGGGGTCCGTGGGGTATCAGGGGGTATTGGGGCACATTCAGAGGGGGCTGTGTTTGGGGGGACGTGGGGGTTTTGGGGGCCATTGGATTTCGGGGTCTTCAGGTTCGGGGGGGTCTCTGGGGGGAGAGTACCCGGGTCGGGGGTCTCTGGGGGTCTCCTGTCTGGTGGCGCCCTCGGGTTGGGGGTCTCGGGGGGGCTCCTGGGCTCGGGGTGTCCCTGGGAGGGGTCTCGGGGGGAGGGAGCCCTCGGGGGGTCCCTGAGCCGCCCCCCCCCTCCCCAGGTGAGCAAGACGGGGGCCGAGGGGGCCGTGCTGGACGAGGCCAAAAACATCAACAAGTCGCTGTCGGCGCTGGGCAACGTCATCTCGGCGCTGGCAGAGGGCACGGTGAGACCCCCGGACCCCGCGGGACCCCCAGGTTCACCCCCAGCCTCAGCCCGGGGGAGCGCTGGAGCCCCCCAGAGCCCTCCGCCCCCCCCCCCGCGTCCCCCCCCCCCCACCCCTCCCCCCCGGGTGCCCCCCCCCATGTGTCCCCCCCGGTGTCCCCCCTGTGTGTCCCCCCACATCCCTGCCCGGGGGTCCTGGGGGCACCTCTACGAGCCCCCTCTTTTCCCCATGTCCCTCCCATCGGGGTCTTGGGGTGGGGACACCCCTTGGACCCCCAGCCCCCCGTGTGTCCCCTCTTGTCTCCCCCCTGGGGGACACTGCGTGAGCCCCCCGTGTGTCCCTCCTGTGTCCCCCCGGGTGTCTCGGGGGGGTTCCCTCCCTGAGTCCCCCTCTTCTCCCACATGTGCCCCCCGCTGACGCCCCTCCCCCCGCAGAAGGCGTACGTGCCCTATCGCGACAGCAAAATGACGCGGATCCTGCAGGACTCGCTGGGCGGGAACTGCCGCACCACGATGTTCATCTGCTGCTCCCCCTCCAGCTACAACGACGCCGAGACCAAATCCACGCTCATGTTCGGCCAGAGGTGCGGGCCCGGGGGGGGCCCCGGGGGGGTCCTGACCCCCCTGCACTCACCTGACCCCCCCCGGGCTCCCTGTACCCCCCCGCACCCCTCTGACCCCCCCTGCACCCCCCTGCACTGCCCCTGCGGCCCCCTGAGCCCCCCAAATCCACGCTCATGTTCAGCCACAGGCTGGGGGGAGGGGCTGGGGGTGGGTCCTGAACCCCCCTGAGCCCCCCAAATCCACGCTCATGTTTGGGAGAGATGGGGCTTGGGGGGGCCCAGCTGCTCCTCCGCTGCACCCCAATGAACCCCAATGTCCCCCAATGTCCTCCAATACCCCTCACACCCCACTGCACCCCCTGCTCCCGAGAGCACCCTGGGGGCTCAGTGCCCCCCACCCATACCCCAAGAACACCCCAAGAGCCCCCCCCTGCACCCCAGGGGGTTAAAGGGGCTGCACTGGGACCCTGAAACACGGGACAGGAGCGGGGGGAAGGTGAACCCCCGGGGGGGGTCTGTGGTGACCGGGGGGGCACCGGAGGGTCCCAGTTTGGTGCCCGCAGTGCCCGGGGCAGGGCGGGGGTCCCAGTTTCGGGTGCCCCCCCAGGGCCAAGACCATCAAGAACACGGCGTCGGTGAACCTGGAGCTCACGGCCGAGCAGTGGAAGAAGAAGTTCGAGAAGGAAAAGGAGAAGAACAAAGCTCTGAGGGAGACCCTGGCGCGGCTGGAGGCGGAGCTGAGCCGCTGGAGGAGCGGTGAGGGGCATCCTGAGACTGGGGGGGACACCCGAGATCCGGGGGGGCCACAACATCCCTCGACGGGGACACCGCGTTCGTGTCCCCCCCGAGGGGGGCCGAGCTGAGCTGCCGTCAGGGGGGTGAGGGGGACCTCGACATCCAGGAGGGCCCCCCGGAATAGGGGAGGGGGCCGCACATCCCGGT